TCTGATGTCCAAGAAAAAGGCAGCAGTGATTAAACACAACAGAACTACATGTCAGGGGTATGATGGAATACCCCACACTTACCTGGGGGTGTACAGTTCCAAAAACATTCAAGAAATGTAACACCATTTGGGACAAAAGAGCCCACCTGATTGGCACCACCTTCACCGTTCACTCCCTCTGCTACTAGTACTCAAGAGCAGCAATGTGTATCATCTATAACATGCAGCAACTCACCAAGGCTCCTCCAACAGGTCCTTCTGAACCCACGACCACTTCCATCCAGAAGGGCGAGGGCAGCAGATACCTGGGAGCGCCACCTGCAAGATCCCCCATCCCCAAGCCACTCACCATCCTGACTTGGAAATGTATCACCATTCCGTCACTGGGACAGAATCCTGGATTTCCCTCTCTAACGGCATTGTGGGTCTACCCACAGCACAAAGACTGCAGTTATTTAAGAAGACAGCTCACTACCATCTTAAGGGCAACTAGGGACAAGCAATAAATGCTGGCCCATACAGCAACACCCACATTGCAGGAAATAAATAAGTATGAAAAACTTGTGTTCGAAAATATTGGAAATAGCAAATTAGCGCTTGCACAGCATGGGGGTGTGACTGAAAGTAGGCTGCTGGCGGTGAATGGGTTAATGATAGTTTGCACACAGACTGGGAGCACAAACTGTAATTAGTGATCTCAAACTTCTACTGCTCTGCCTTAAGCTCTCACGGTCTACTGAAAGTAAATGGCCGGTGAGTAATTTATCCTGCCATGATTGGATAAAGCCATGATTTGCAAGTTTAAATGTATGTCAGGTTAAAGGGGACATGACAACCACATCCTGCTAGCAAATCCCACACTGCCTGGCTGTCCCCACCTCTCTCCAAATTCCTATCTGCTTTCCCTCTCCAGTGACTGTCCGCACGAATGTGGTAGTTTGCTGGTTCCAGAAACCATCAAACAAGAAATAGTCGAATCCCATCATCTTGACAGTAGATTAACTGTAATTTTGAGAAGCATGTTCGAAACTCTTTGCAGAGGGATGGACTTTAAACAAAAGGCGATGCGCTTCCTCTTCATGAGCAGTAGCCTTTGACGTTCCAAATAAACACAGTAAAGGGGGCTCGTCACCATGGTTTCTCCACCCAGCCTTAAAGCATCTCCGTTTCTAGTGGAGATTTTGATTTGGAAACTGATTAATCCTGTAAGTAACCCACAAGGAAATTTGAATTCACCTTTGAATAAGATTTTATTGTCACGTGTACTCAAGTACAGGAAGACAGGGGTACAGTGAACAGTGTACTAAGTCGCCAATCTCTGGCACCATCCTACGATACAAAACCAGAATGTTTAAAAAAACAAGAGAAGTAAAAGAAACAGTCAAAAGAAAAGTTTCCAGATCTTAAAGTCCTTTATCCAAAGAAAAGGGAAAGAGTCCAGATTTTAAAGTCTTATTTCCCCAGCCTGGAGTTTTGGTCAGCCTCCTCCTGGGGCACACTCCACTGATTGTCTTTGCTGCCATCTTGATTTGTCGGGAAGGGCTGTGGATTTAACGGGAAAATGCTACTTTAGAGTTTAGCGGGACGATGTTTGGATTGGTTAACTGACTCGCTTGACCTTCTTGCCAGTTGGGACTTTGAATGCCGTGGCAATCAAAGGTCTAAACTGTAAATCATCTACTTAATGAATCTTAAAGGCATCAAAACCCAGTTTTAATGGCATGTTTACAGTGGCATATTTTAAATATGTCGATGGAAGCACATGGCTGTTAAGTTTGGGGAATTGGCATCTATTTTTACTTCATTAGAGTCATAAGTCTGGTCAAATTTATATAACTATATATCCACCAATTAAGGTAAAATACAAATCTACATTTGAAATGTTGAAAATATAAAATGGTTTTACAGATGAAAAGGTGCCTCTCTAGCCCTTAGCTTCCATTTACATTGTGTTCTGCTCCATTTATTGATCACATAGTGATGTGCACATTTCCTTGGCCATTGCTGTCCCGTTGAATTGAAGAAAGATTTTTGTAATGTTTCAGTAAATTTTGTTAGTGCTTTTTAATTTTAAATTAATAAAGTAACGTGGCTTTTCCTCATGATTGAGTGAGTTCATGGACCTGATATCATCTAACGCAGCTGTGGAGCTCAAAGACCCCAAATTTGATTTGTGGTCTATTAGATGATGGTAATGAGGAGTATGATAGCATCTGAGGCTAGACAGCAAGGGAAGAAATTGGTCAAGGTTCCTGCAAATGATTATGTTGAGAAAGTATATGTGCTGTGGGTCTGTGGTTTGAACAAGGTTGGATTTTGCTGTAATATCATGGATGACCAAATTCATATGCACTGACTAGATTTACGGCTTTTTAATGTGATAGATGCAAAGGGCCATTGGTACCGATGGAACAATATAATATCCACTGTTACACTGGAAAAGGAGAGGAACAAAGTGAAATGTGGGGGTGAGTTAGGGGAGGTAATTGAAACACTGAGGATTCTGAGTTTGAAATTGTGTGGAAAGTCTGTTGTACCATTTAACACCCTCTGCAGAATGAATTAGTTTCCATGCATTTTAACACCACTTTGCACTGCAGAACATTATAGCTTGTGTAATGAGCAATGATTTATTGAGTTTTTATTGGGTACATGAAGACAGTGCCACGCTGTCTTTATCTAGAATAATATCCTGTTTAAATACATTAGCATTGCAGAGGATTATCATTAATCTGAGGCTGTGTGGCCCAGTGTTAATCTGACTGATAAAAGCGGGGCGAAGACTTGGCATCAACCATAATTATAATCTTATCCATACTCAAAGTGAACTCAAGACAGACTTTTTCAGAGTTTACTGGCACTTCCTATCATTTTTTCCTCTTTGTTCTTATTTAATGGTACATTTCTTAAAAGCATTTTTCAAAAATATGGATGGTTAATTGCCTAATGCATGTGGCTACGTGCATATGAAATAACTGGAATTTCTGTTTTCCAATGTTTGCAAGGATTTGGTTGTTTGCAGGCATTGGGAAATGACCAAACTAGCCTCTGAGAAATGTCGCGGGTATGTGGATGCAAAATGGGGAAACCTTGAAGTATAGGGGGTCCCTGATTTTATGAGCATCCAACTTAAGATTGCTCATGCTTACTAATCATTGAATTTTACAGCACAGAAGGAGGCCGTTCAACCCATCGTATCTGTACTGGCTCCTGAAAGAACTACCCAGCTAGTTCCAGTCTCCAGCCCTATCTCCATAGCCCTGCAGTCCCACACAGGGGTATCATTCTTTTTCTATTGATTCATTTGTGGGAGACGGGTGTTGCTGGCTGGCCAGCAGTTACCTCCCATCCCTAGTTGCCCTTGAGAAGGTGGTGGTGAGCTGCCTTCTCGAACCGCTGCAGTCCACCTGCTGTGGGTTGACCCACAATGCCGTTAGGGAGGGAATTCCAGGATTTTGACCCAATTTTAAAGATCCGACATAAAAAGCTCCTGTTCTTATGAACGGCTACTTTACATTACGCTGCATTGTGTTCCAACTTGGGTACAAATAGACTTGCAAACAGTCTCTGGAACAGAGTCCATTTGCAACTGGGGGACTTGCCTGTACCTTGTTAGCAAGTAGGAGACCATAGCCAAAGGTGTCACTTTGTCAGGGGCCTGGCTGAAACCAGTGGCTTTACTGTGTGGCTCAGCCACCTCATTGGCAGCCTCTGCCCTCTTGCTAAAGCCCCATTTGTTCTCTTCTTCAAACCTGTTATATCTTATCACAGCTGGGATACCGGTCTCTAACCATGCAGAAGGTTCTCTTTGAGTTGAGGATTAATCTTCTCCGTGTTGATGCACTTGATTGGGATGGGGAGAGGGTGGGAGCAAAACCTTGTCTCCCAAACAGCAAAAAGTGACTGGAGACTCCCATGTGGGGCCAGGACCTGGTATGCCAATTTTCGGACTGCTCTGGTGGTTTTCCAATGAGTTATAACAGGGACCCACTTCAAGGGCCAGGCATTTTTTGAGGCCTCTTTCTGCTATTGATTGGGGACAACACTCACTGCTGCTGTTCAAAGTTATACAGGTGTGTTCGGTGTTTGGAAATTGGATGGAACGATGTTTCTCCACTACATTGTAGAGAATGGGATCATCACAAGATGGAATCACTTTTCACAACTGGGATGAAATATATTTGAATTTTAGTGGTGCATCCTGTGTATTTTTCTGCAATCTATTCTGTCTTTGCAGACACTACTTTGAAAGTTTAAGCTGCATTTTAACTTGCAGGTGTAACTTTCACCAAACAGCACAGTTATAATTTGAAAAGACAAGTACTATTGTAAGATGTTAGACTGTCACATAATGCATGAAATTTGTACAAATTTGCTGTCAGCTACAAATGTTAATATGTGCTGGCCTTGGGAAGTAGGGACCAGCACTGAGGTCTCTCTTTATGAATATTCAGAACTATATTAACTTTCAGATAATCTGCCAGTGAGCAGTGATGGTAGTAGCCATTGCCATTATTTTTAACCAATTAATTTCTCACTATACACAATTAATGATAGGGTCCTGTCAAACAGAGAGACCTGGGGGTTCAGGTGCATAGTTCCTTAAAAGTTGCATCACAGGGACACAGGGTGGTAAAGAAGATGTCTGGCACAAAAACAGAAGTTGTTGGAAGCTCAGAGGGTGCTCCGGTTTCGTCCCGCAGTCCAAAGATGTGCAAGTTGGGTGGATTGGCCATGCCAAATTGCCGATAGGGTAGCGGGATAGGTCTGGGTGGGATGCTGTTCAGAGAGTTGGTGTGAATTCAATGAAACAAATGGCCTGTTTCCACACTGTAGGGATTCCTTGAAATGTTGAACAGGCCACTGACTCATTTGCCAAAAAGTACATTCTCTCAAAGTCCAAGGTCTGCACTGCTGGATCCAAAGAAATGGTTTTGCAGTTGTGTCTAATCCTGCAGTGTTCATGAGACGCTAAGATCTTTTCTCTTGTTTTTTTCCAGTGGTGAGGGGTCACATTCGTTCAGTGTTCCACGATGCAGAGCGACAGGAGTCTATCGTTAGCGTGAGCACCACCAAAATTTATAGACAGAAGTACACCCTCTTTCACCCAATAGGAAAATACGGAAAATCCTTTGGGGAAGTCAGGACATTTTTGAAGTGTGGCGTGAAGCAAGGAGTCGGGAGCTTCATTTTCACAGGCCACGTCCACTTTGGAGAGGCATGGCTTGGGTGTGCACCTCGCTACAAAGACTTTAAGAGGATCTCTGAAGTGGCCAAAGAAGCACACGAGAATCAGTGCGAGATTGAGTCAGACTGATGCTGTTTAAATAATGAAGCCGAATTTTAAATCGGCAGGAAAGGACTGTAAAACATATGCCACAATGGTCCATTGAGAATCACATTGTGAAGGAATCCCTGAAGAGAAAGCTTTGGAGTCGGTTGCTTCATTGTTCAGAGAGAATGACTGTGACTGTGCTGGTAATCTCTCAATGTGCTAACGACACTGTTGGGTTGATTTATTGCCCAATGGGAACAATTGTTATTGCACAGACCACCCCCATATGTCCCTTGGAGAGGATTGGAGGGATGATTCATTGTCCAAGGCAAACAATTGAGGATATGCACTCAGCTACACTTTGTGAAGGAGTCAATTCTGGTCGAAGATTAAATTTGTAAAATCGCTTCATATCTGAACACTTGTGGAACACTCCACAGCTAAAAACAAATGGTTCTGCATCCCGATAGAACATTCCATGTATAAAGAATACACACGGCAAGACTCTGTAGTTGCATAACGAGGATCTTTTCACCTAAACAGCCAGTAATACAGAAACTGTTGACTTGTTAATGACTGCAGTTTTAGCACCTGACCAGTGCATTTCAGATTGTCTGCCTGAGGCGAAGCCTGAACAACCTTCCATGATTCATAATGACAATGTTTACTTTGTATATTTTTGTTATATTTATAATTTTATTTGGTGCAGAGTTAGCAGGAGAGATCTGCAGTCTATAAAATTGGAATCTCTAAGTCAGATATAACAGTTCAAATACTGAACACATCAGTACAGGTAGTTCTATAACGCAATAGTTGCGTTCCTGCGTGACCTTGCCCTATAGAAAATCACGCTATAGAAAATCACCTAATAGGGAAATCGCTGTAGAAAATCACTAAACCTGTACGGCAGAAAGTTCGCATTATCCAAACAGCATCCACTATTCATCAATCACATTACAGCCATTTCACGTTAACGAAACATGCGTTATAGCAGAACTACCTGTACTGGTAACCAGAAATCCAGTTCTACAGTATCGATAGTTTTATCTCTTCCAGTTAATGTTCTTATGGATCGTCGACATCTATTCAGAAATTCTCTTTGCACCATATGACCTCGCCTCTCAAAGTATAGGATCCCCATTCAATCCATTCAACGTCCTGGAGTTATTGTCTTTTTTCATGATCCCTAACAGAAAGCTGAGCTCTTATCCTCACATTCTCTTTGTGAACTAAGTAGTAATTGTTGCATCAATTACTTAGGATATGGACAAAATTGTGTGCTTAGTAAATTTGAAGAACTAGGAGTGTTTGGGATTTGGGAATTTGGAATGGTGGGTGCGTGTGTGGAGGCAGGGAAAGGCTAAGGGTAGGACTTATACAATTAACGGTAGGGCCCTGGGTAATATTGTACAACAGAGAGACCTAGGGGTTCAGGTACGCAGTTCTTCGAAATGTGCATCACATATGGTTCTGGTATAAGAAGGCATTTAGCCCACTTTCCTTCATTGCTCAAACCTTTGAGGGAGTTGGGACATTGGTGCGGTCTCTTCTGGAATACTGTGTCCAGTTCTGGTCACCCTGTTATAAGAAGGATGCTATTAAATTGGAGAGGGTTCAGAAGAGATTTACCAGGATTTTGCCGGGAATGGAGAGTTTGAGTTATAAGCAGAGGCTGGAAAGGCTGGGACTTTTTCACTGGAATGGAGGAGGTTGAATGGTGACCTTGCAGAGGGTTATAAAATCATGAGAGGCATGGATAGGGTAAATAGCAACAGCCTTTTCCCTTGGGGGAATGCGTGTGGAGTTCAAAACTAGGGGACATTTTTAAGGTCAGGAGAAAGGTTTAAAAAGGACATGAGGGGCAAGGTTTTTACGCAGAGTGGTTTGTGTTTGGAATGAACTACCACAGGACGTGGTGGATGCAGGTACAGTTGCAACATTTAATAGACATTTGCGCAGCTACATGAAAGGAAAGGTTTGGAGTGATATGGGTCAAATGCAGGCAGATGGGACTAGTTTAGTTTGGGAACATGGTCAACATGGACTGGTTGGACAGAAAGGTCTGTCTCCATGCTGTATGACTGTATGACTAGGACCTGTACTCAGATTTGAGTGGAAAATATGGCACAGACTAGTGAATTGAGTAAATTTCTGGAGTTTACAAGATGCCTACCGCTGTACCGAAAACCAATCTGCGATATTCAAAGACTTAAACTCTCAAAATTGAACAGTTTAATTTGAAAGGGATTTCAAATTGTATGATTGTCCAATTATGAATTAAACCTGGAACAAGTGATAAAATTTGCCGATATCTTCACTGTGCTTTTGTTAAACTTTAGAATTTTTTTGGCTTGCCGGACATTGTACTCCAGGAACATGGTGTTGTCAACTGCGTATTCATGTAAAGTATTTACTATAATGTTATTTTCTACGTCCTTAGTTATGTTTGTGTGTCTGCAGCTAACTTGGGTGTACATGGTGTAAATATTTATGCTTTAAAAAAATCCTAAATTCAGTGGATGGAACAATTGAGACCTTCTGAGTCTCCATGTATAAATATGGCTGTAGTTTTGTTCTTTAAGAATGTACCTCTGTTTAAAAAAAAAATCTGTTTTTACATTTGAAAAGTTTATTAAAATCTGAAACAAATTCCCATTCACAATAGTGTCCCATGTGAATTGTTTCTATCACACCACAATAGAGTGAATGGTCACTTCTTGTACTTCATTTAGATTTAGGTTGTATTGTCATGAGTACTGAAGTACAGGAGTACAGTGAAAAGTATTCAAAGTTGCTATTCCCGTTGCCATTTCAGGTTCAAAGATAGCTAGGTACAAAATCTTAGGTACAAAAGTAGAAAAATAAACAAGTAAGTTAAAGTTCATCACTACAGTTCTTCTTAGTATAAAGTAGAAAAATAGAGGAATAAAGTTAAAAGTAAGTCTTCACTCTCGTTTCTGGGCCTGCAGTCGCTCCATGCTGGGCTTTTGTCCCAAGGGCTCGCTCTTGCCCGCACTGAGTACACTTTTTCACCTGCACTGGGCAAAGTCCTGCCCCGGTTCACAAGCTACTTCACTTGCCAGCTGCTTATCTGCCAACTGCCACCCGCTGCCATTTAGGTTCGTGCTGGGCCCCCCAGTCGCTGCCGCACTCTGTTGCCGCAGCTACCTCGCACAACCAAGCCCTTTCCTGAAGGTAAGTTTAAAAAAAAAACTAAAATCGAGAAAAGGGGTAAAAAAGAGGAAAGCGGACAGAATGGGCAAGAAGTGGGCTCAAGTGCCTTGACGCTGCCTACTCTGTTGCTGCTGCCTCAGAATAAGAAAAGATAGTGCCTCAAATCAGGATGTTGTGATACAAGGCAAGGAAGTCATTAGGTAGTGGTTCATGTACCTTGTTACAAACAGTTGAGAAGGGATGAACTGGACCCCATTTGTTCAAGTTTCTCAGTTGGTCACATCAAAGTTTGAAGTTGTTCTTATACAAGGCTATTCTTCTCTCAGTTAAGAATGGAGTTAACCGAAAATAACTCGGGGAAAATCTTGTCCATTTGATTTTTCCAGCTCAAAGCAGAGAGAAAATTTGAAAATGCAGTGTCAATCATACAGCCCTCAGATTGTCACTTGAGCCCCCACATGCGTACTCACACTCTGTGGTACAACATTAAAGGGAAAAGTCTCCAATACAAAGGAGTTTAAAAAGAATATGGTTGCCTTTCAGGCATTAAGATTTTAATCCGAGACCAGTATTGATTGGCTAGTCATACTGTAATACAGTATGGAGACAGGCCCTTTGGCCCAAACTGGTCCATGCTGACCATGGTGCCCACTCAGCTAGTTCCAATTGCCTGTATTTCGTCCATATCCCTCGAAACCCTTCCCATCCATGTACCTATCCAAATATTTTTTAAATATCGCTATTGTACCTGCCTCAATCACTTTCTCTGGCAGCCCATTCCATATATGCACCACTCTCTGCATGAAGAAGCTGCCCCTCAGGTCCTTCTTAAATCTTGCCCCTCTCACCTTAAACCTATGCCCTCCAGTTTTCAATTCCCTATCCCTAGGAAAAAGACTATATGCATTCATCCTATCTATGCCCCTCATGGTTTTATGCACCTCCATAAGGTCACTCATCATTCTCCTACATTCCAAGGAATAAACTCCTATCCTGGCCAACCTCTCCCTATAACTTAGGCCTACTAGTCCTGGCAACATCCTCGTAAATCTTCTTTGCACACTTTCCAGTTTAACGATGTCTTTCCCATAACAGGGTGACCAAAACTGTACACAACTGTACTCCAAGTGCGGCCTCACCAACGACCTATACAAATATAACATACTCCTAAACTCAGTGCCTCAACTGATGAAGGCCAGCATGATAAATGCCTTCTTCACCACCCTGTCCACCTGTGACACTGCTTTCAATGAACTATGTACTTGTACTCCTAGGTTCCTCTGTTCCAAAACACTCCTCAGAACCTTACCATTTACTGTATAAATCCTACCCTGGTTTGACTTTCCAAAATGCAACACCTCACATTTCTCAGTATTGAATTGTATTTGCCAATCCTCAGCCCACTTCCCCATCTGATCAAGATCCCTCTGTAATTTATGATAACCCTTCTCGCTATCAACGATACCTCCTAATTTTGTATCATCTGCAAACATACTAATCATGCCTTGTACATTCACATCTGGATCATTTATGTAAATAACAAATTAGAAGGGTCCCAGCAGTGACCCCTGTGGCACACCACCAGTCACAGGCCTCCAGTCTGAGAAACAATCTTCAACCATCACCCTCTGCTTCCTACCATCGAGCCAATTTTGAATCCAATTAGCTAGCTGTCCCTGGATCCCATGTAACCTAACCTTCACAATTAGCCTGCTGTCAAAGGCCTTAGGTGCAGTCAGTTGCAGCAAGCATTGCTGTGATTTTGATTCTCAGTTCCTTGCATTTTCTGTGGAAACTGAATGCCAGCTTCTCCAGAGAAAGTGAAAGGAGACAGCAGTTTGTGTTTAATTTGCTAAAATGCTTGCGGAACCTCCCTTGAAGTACTGGTTCCAGTTTGTTGTTCCAGCAGGTTCTTTTGGGTGGACTTGTATTTGACAGCTATCGCGTCAAACTCTCATACTTTGTATTTGTTTATGTCTGGCCCACAATGGACACAATCCATTTTTGCAAGTACTTTCAGTGGACTATTGTTGGAGTTCCCTATTGTGTTTTGTTATGGAATGAATGTGTCCCACTTTATTGTAAAAGAAACATCTCATCTTTCGATTCTCGGCTCCAACCTCAGTACATTCCCTCCTGATCTGAGTAGGTAACCCTGGGGCATTCCCACCTCTCCATTCCTTTTACTCTCCCATTTTCTATCCCGTTCAAATTTGTGAGGGCGAAGGTAAAGAAGACCTAGTCTTATGGATTAGTACATAATCATCAGTTGTTATTGTTGTCTGTCCAGCAGTCGCAACCCTGTGGTCCTCAATATGAGTTCTTTAAAATAGCTTAAAGTTTGCCTGCCAAGTCAATCAACATAGTTTTTGAAGTTTCCCTTAAGATTGCCAGGGACAAGTCTGCGACTCAAAGAACATACTTCACCATTTTCAGTGCCGTAGCTTAAAACTCAGCACAAAGCCTGGTGTTTTATTTGTTAATATCGCACCCAAACCCTTGTTGCCTCTTTCAATCTATCAATCCTGGCCAAAAGCCCCAAACGTTGTAACACCTCACTGGGGTAGCTTACCAGAATTCAAGTCCCCATTACTCCTGGAGTCATTGTATAACTTAAAGATTTTTTTAAAATATGCAGGATTCCTCAACTTGCATGTCTTCTTATTTCAGGCTGACAAAAAGTGTTACTGTACTTAACAAAAATTACTCTTACAATTAATTGGACTGTAGCTGCAGGTAAAAAAATTGTGAACCCTTGGCATATAACCATTTATTAATACTTTAATCTGTTATAAACTATCGCTTTTCACACTCACATGCACATGAGAAAAAGTACAAATAAAAGGAGGGAAAACTGGGAAAGCAGCTCAGTGAGAGATAGTAAGAATTGCAGATGCTGGAGTCAGAGATAACACAGTGTGGAGCTGGTGGAGCATAGCAGGCCAGGCAGTATCAGAGGAGCAGGAAAGCTGATGTTTTGGGTCAAGATCCATTTCTGAAGAAGGGTCCCCACCTGAAACGTCAGCTTTCCTGCTCCTCTGATGCTGCCTGGCCTGCTGTGTACCTCCAGCTCCACACTGTATTTTCTAAGCAGTTCTGTGATCTCTATTCACGAGATCTGTTAATATTGTTCTCCTCTCAGCAGAACATGGTTACTCACTTGTACTTTTCCAGATGCTTCCATTGTTTTGCAAGAGGCACTGGATGGCTGGTTCATCAAAAACAAACATTTGTATTAGCAAGCCTACATCAAAGACAACTAACTGATTAATAACCTCTTGGAGCTACCAATCAAAATGAACTTACAGCTGCCTCACCTCTTTCCTTACCACCACGAAAGCAGGTAAGCAGTAATAATGCTTAGGGTTATACCAACAAACAGCTATTGAAATCGTAAGCACCAACTGATAATGTTATCTGTTAAGCAGGAATAAAGCTATCAACTTTTGATTATGTCAACAAATTGTAAACGCCATACTTTCTCAATACCAAGCCAGTCTCAGACCATAAGGGGCAGTGAACTTAAATAACTTGACAGTTTGCCTATTACACACATTCACATCTACCTTTAAAAAGTATAAGTCACACAATGTGGGGAATAGAGATTTCTCCAGTAAGAATTATTCAGTGCTGAGTTCAAATGACCCTGCTAGATTTGAGACTCTCCCATGTGTGAGTCATATTCCACTCTCTTTGTCACCTGCAGTATAACCCCA